CCCATCAAACCCTCACTACACATTTGGGTCTACTGGGTCTGTCCGGCATCTTCCCCCGCCATCTGATCCAACTCACTACTAGGTGGTGATCAGTTGACAGCTCAGCTCCTCTCTTCACCCGAGTGTCCAAAACAAACGGCCACAAATCAGATGAGTCGCTGTGCACGACTATGAAGTCAATCATCGCTCTATGACCTAGGGCGTCCTAGTACCAAGTGCACTTATGGACACCCTTATGTTCGAACATGGTGTTTGTGATGGACAAACTATGACTAGCAAAGAATGTCCAACAACAGAGCACCGCTCGGGTTCAGATCAGAGGCTGTTCCTCCCAATCACGCCCATCCAGAACAAACTGTCATTACACACGTGGGCACTGAAGTCTTCAGCAGAATAAAGGGGTCCCCAGCTGGCGCAACTTCCAGCACCCCCTGCCAATGACTCCAAGAAGGTCAGATACTATGAAGTGCAGTTCGGCACATAGGCACAAACAACAGTCAGAGCCCATCCCCCAACCTGAATGCGAAGGGAAGCCACCCTCTCATCTACCGGGGAAAACTCCAACGCACAGGCACCAAGTCGAGGGGCTACAAGTAGACCCACACCAGCTCGACGCCTCACATCATGGGCAACTCCACAGTGGAATAAGGTCCAGCCCCTCTCAAGGAGATCGGTTCAAGAAACCATGCTGTGTGTTGAGGTGAGCTCAACTATATCTAGTCGGTACCTCTCAACCTCACGAACAAGTTCAGGCTCCTTCCTTGCCAGAGAGGTTACATTTCATGTCCCAAGAGCTAGCTTTGGTAAGCCAGGGTCAGAGTGCCAAGGTCCCCGCCTTCGGCCACTGCCCCATAGCATCATGCACCCAACTTTTATCGCCCTTCCTGCAGGTGGTGGGTTCACAGGAAGGCAAACCCATGCTGTTCCTTCAGGCTGAGCCCGACCGGGTCCCATGAGTGGAGACCCGGTCACCAGGCGCTCGCCGACGAGCCCCTCCCCCAGGCCTGGCTCCAGGGTGGGGCCCCGGTAACCCACATCCGGGCAAAGGACAGAGTTCCTTGTTTTGTTTTGTCCATAAAAATCACTGAACAGAAACATTCATATATAACATAAGTTAACTGAAACATTCATATAAAAATAAGAAGTTAACACTATTTATAAGAGGAGCAGACTGCTTTAAATTTAACTCCAACACAAAACTCTCATCTTGAGCAAGCACGAAGGCGACAGTGGAAAGGAAAATCTCCCTCATAAGGAAGAAACCTTTAGCAGAATCAGGCTCAGGACAAGTGGCCATCTGCTTCAACCGGCTGAGTAGGAAAAGATACACAATTGCAGGTCAAGAATCAAGTTAAGGCAGAAATAATATCAAATGAATACTATTCAATTTTAACAATTCATTTAAGGAAATGAGGTCAATTTGTCCTTTAGTAGTCTAAGTCTATAGCAGCATAACAAGCCAACCCCAACTATAGGATTTATCAAAAAGGAAAGTTTTAAGCCCAGTCTTAAAACTGGACAATGTGTCAGCCTCACGGATAGAAACTGGACTGTCAAATCAGCTGTATTTCAAAAGCCGATATGCAGAAGTAAACGTGTGAACGGGACGAGTCGTTGTTCAAATTCAACAAGATAACCACCTAAAAACAATTATTTGTTTGCTCGAATTTACAGTAAAGGTGTGTCTCAGTCTAACATTTGCTTAATAAAAGGACTTTAACAGTCAAATTAGCTGTATTTCAAGTATTCGCTGCCTCTGTGCCCCCAGGAGCGCACAGACAGGGAGGAAAAAAGGAGGAGGAACGCTGCATATTTCTTCGAAATTTAACAAGAAAAGCACCTAAAACAATTATTTGTTTGCTTGACTTATAGCAAAAGTGAGTCTCAGTTGAACTTTTACTTAATAAATGCACTGTAATGGTAAAATTAGCTGCATTTCGCCGGGGCGGTGCAGTGAAATGAAGCTGGTTTGACGGTTGCTCGAAGCAGTGAGCAGAACGAAGGTGGGGGCATTATGGCAAGCCAATTGTGTCATTAATAGCTGGTGAAGATTCTCAGTCATCCAGGACATGGTAAATTCAAAAAAGTTCAAGACAAAAATAATAAAGTATAAAGTATAATAAATAAAGTCCTGTTGTTTTTGTCTTGAATTTTTGGTCATTATAGCCACATTTACCTAGCACATGATACAACAGCATGCCTTACTACTCTGCTGCCATCTTGTGGCTGAAAATGGTAGTGTTCAATTTTTTTCAGTCAGAATGAATGAAAACGGTCATATCTCAGCCAAAAATTGGTTTATAAATATGGAAAAAAAAATCCATAAATAAGTCGCTTCGGCCTATAAGTCACAGGGCATGCAAATTATGCAAAAAAGCTGTGACTTATACAGCAAAAAATACGGTACTTTAAAGTTGACCAACATTTCTAAAGATCCTTTTTGTTTTATTGGTCTTAAGTAATAATCTAATTTTCTGAAATAATGAATTTGGGGTTTTCATTAGTTGTCAGTTATAATCGTCAAGATTAAAAGAAATAAACATTTGAAATATATCAGTCTATGCGTAATTAAAATAATATACTAGGGCTGTATACTGAACTGAGGTTCTTTTATAGAACCGACAGAACTGCGTCCGTCGGTGTATGGATTGAAACGTCACTCTTTTTTCGGTGTCAAGTTTCGGTATTGGCTGTAACGTGTCATGTGGTTTCAGCATGCAGGCAGTTAAAACACCAGACTACGTATTTACACCCAGAGCTGTATAGAGCTGCCGTACAGCTTGTATGTCTATGGTGCTGGTGATGCCCACAGACGGGGTTCACGTGCGCAGTGTGTGTGGCGTCGAATGGCTTCAATTTATGAGTAGAAAGTTGCTCCATGTTTTTCTGCGAGGAGAGAGAAGCACCACAGGCTCACCTCGTCCTATCTCAGTGTTAAAGTCGGCCTGTGAGTGTTAGAGAGCATGAACGGCCTGATTCATTATCTCCACGACCGGACTCTTCATCAAAGAACTCCTAGGACGGAGTTGTGTCTGCGTTTCAGCTGGTGAGTTTACGTTTGTTAACGTTATTGCAGCTTAATATGTGCATCGCTGAGAGTTAAACTAGGATCCATGTAACGCTAACTTTAAGATATTAGTGTGTAAATTTATTTTATCTACGTAGCTAGCTAAACTCAGAAGCTAACTAAAGATTGACAGTAACAGATAAATCTTAGCTTGTAAAACTGCTCATCCATCCAGTCAGCTGCTTAAACAGTTCACTAATGTTCACGGTTTGTGTTCATGTTCTCCTCACAGGAGCCTCTGACCCAGATGTGAGGACAGACAGAAAAGTGAGGTGGGGGCCAAAGGACAATCACAGACTTTCTTGTTAAAAGTTTGCTGCTTCTTCTACAGTGGAGCTGCATGGTGGAGGTAAGTTAAGCTGTAAAAGATGTTGTTGACCAGTTAAACTTTTATCTTTCAGCCTAGATAATGTTTTTTGATCAATAATAACACAACCATGTTATTGCTGATGTTTTGTTCTCATGTCAATTAGGGAGATGATCAGAGCCCTAAACCCCAGAGAACCACAGAGAAGATTCAGGCAGAGACACAGAGGTGCAGAAGTCTGCATCAACTCTACCTCAGTGAATCCTGTGACCTGCTGGTGGAATGTGAGGGACAATATGTCAAACTGACAACCAGGTATCTGTGTGTGCAACAAGCATCATCTACAGCCTCAGAGTGAACATCTACTGCTGGAGACACCATCAGCCAGGAGCAGCTGGTTTGTGTCCAGAGAAACAGACATGTTGATGTTTCTGAAGAAAAACTGAAAAGGTCCTCGGTGTGTAGCAGTGACCATTACACACTGATGTGTCACTGGTTTGAAACTGGTCTTTTGAACTGGAAATTATTTGTTTATTTTTATGTAAGAAAACTGCTGGGAATAGAAAAATACTAAAGTTTAAAAATAAAACTCACAATTTGTACTGTAATGTGTAACATAATTTTATTCTTGTTAGAATTAATATTAATTACAAAATTGGTGCCGAAAAAAAGAACCGTCCAGGAACGGACACCGAAGTGAAGGTACCGACACTGATTTTTTTAGAAACGTACCCAGCCCTATAATTTACAAGTTTCACTTTTTGAATGGAGTTACTGAAATAAATCAACTTTTTCATCATATTCTTATTTTATGACCAGCACCTGTATTGTATCGTGTTCGATTAGCGTATATCTTAGATCCTTGTATAGTGTTTCTTTTAACACTATATATTTACTCTTTCAGGGATGAAGATGTTCACATCCTGGACAGAGAGGAACGATGGTTTGAGAGAGGAGTAAAGGAGGCCATCTTTGTGAAAAGAAACCGTCCATCATTAAACAGGGGTGGAGCCTCCAGGTTCAACTGTCCCCCTCTTACAATGCTGTGATTGCTAGTATCACTCAGCCCTCTGTGAACAGTAAACAGCCATCAGGTGCTAATGATCCATTGTTAGGCTGATGGTCCTTCTTGAGCATGTGATCAGCTGGTTCTGGTTGTCAGCAGCAAACTGGTTGATCCACTCTGAGAAGGTGCTATTTAAGAGACTGAGCTGAATACAGCACCTCAGACTGAGGAAGTCTCTTGGGATGAGAGACGAAACGTTTCTAGATTTTTTTGCTTTGTTTTGTTTTTTTGAATGTCCAGAGGACCAGATTTAACTTTTTTGGATTTTTCTACCTGGATTATTGAGCATGCATCAGGATATATATTTTATATTTTTCGTCACAGACTGATGAAGTCCTCTGGATGAGGGATGAAACATTTCTCGCTTAAAGAAATTGGTCCAAATGACATGATTTAAACTTTTTTGTTAACTTTATATTTGTGCTAATTTTGGGTGTAACTGGGACCCTGAGTACATAATTTCCTTCCACCTCATGTGCCACATGTGATGGAAATGACAATAAAGGTGATTTGAACTTGAAGCCCACATTAATATTATTAGTATGAGAAGAGCAACTTACTGCTCGTGTCCTTCTTTTGGCTTGTTGGCGTTGTGGCCCAGTTAACCTTCACCTCCTGCAACACAGAGACATGAAAAAAGAACGGAAGATAAAAAAGGTGAGATGTGAAAAGTGACTAAGAGGAGGAGCCTGAGGTTTTGTCTCGCTTTACTTAGGCCATACTTTTTGATTGAGTACTTTTTACTAAGACGGCTTCTGAAAGCCACATGTTGGGTCTTTAAAGCAACACAAACTGTTTCATCCATCGTTAGCTATCGTTACATACCTCTGCATTAATCAACACAGAACAATACAGTGGAGTATAAAAATGGATATCAAGACTTCTTCATAATCAGGAATATTTTATTTTGATCTAGTAAAAATTTGGAGAAAAACTGTAGGAAGTAAGGTCCAAATAACAAGGGACTTACAAATAAGTGATTTTTACGAACTTGTTATACTCCTCAAACGGTCCTTCAATACCTGTTGAGGATAAAATATTTTCAACTGAACGGTTTGATTCAAGCTGCTCTTAGGTGGATTCTATGTGGAGAGAATTATGCAAAAAGAACACACAGCATTAAAATGTAGGGGGACAAACGAGCATGAAGTAAAGGAGATCAAAGAACGTTGCATGAGAACATTACAGGGCCGTGAAATTAATTCATACAAAGAAAGAATAAAACACACAGAGCTCGAGGAACAAAACACGGAAACACACGTCGTGTCAAGAAACTTCTTTACTGCATCAAATACAGACACAGCAACAACAACAGCAACAACAACAACAACAGCAGCAACAACAACAACAACAACAGCAGCAACAGCAACAGCAACAACAACAACAGCAACAACAACAACAACAGCAACAACAGCAGCAGCAACAACAACAGCAACAACAGCAGCAGCAACAACAACAACAACAACAACAACAACAACAACAATAACAACAACAGCAGCAACAACAACAACAACAACAGCAACAACAACAACAACAGCAACAACAGCAGCAGCAAAAACAACAACAGCAACAACAACAACAGC